GCGGGGAAAGGAAGCAGCCATTTAGGTGTCTCTAACCCACTGTTGGTCAACTCAGAACTTCTTACCCTGGTTATGAATCAAGGACCCATCTCAGAACAAAGTTAGAAGCCAGTAATTAGCTTCAACTGCAAGGGAATCTTGTTGGAAGTTGCTTGGACTGAGCTGTGGCTTCTAATACAAGTCAGTTCAGAGGCCAGGGCCTGAGCTGGGCAGCCTCCGCCATGGAAGAGAGAAGCTGATGGGTAGAGTCCTTCCCACCATACTGATTCTGACCGAGCCTGCTGGCCAAGAGGTTAGGGCTGCACTTCACCCCTGTGTCCCTAAGGGAGCAGATGTTTAACTTGGGACATTTCAAAGGTGGTGCTTGATGGCTCACTGGGTGGCTGGTGTCAGCGCAGCACACTGAGCGTTCTGAGACAGGACTCATAGAAAGTGTGCAGGAAGCTGTGTGCACAGGCAGGGAAGGTGAAGTGAGCGGCAGCCAGGGAGTGTGACAGACTGCTGGGGAAGATGGCTCTCCTCCCTCAGGGACTTAAAGCTGCTGATGTCCAGCTCCAGGTTATTCATAAACAGCCTAAATTGTATCCTTCACACAGGATTCCTGACCTATGCATGATACCACCCTGTCTTGCCCAATCAGCTGAAGAGGAGGTAGATAGGAGGGCCGGCACTCACAGTCATATCTGACCATCACTTCTCCCTTACAACTCATTGATCTGAACTTGTTTCTGGTGAAATGTGACCCTGCCCCCAGAGAAGGCTGACTATGTGAATCCCCCCAGTGAGGTCTCCCTATGCCAATGCATGGGGACCAGAGGAGAATCACCCCAATGGGTACACCGGTGGTGGTCAATGTGTTTATCTTGGGATTGAGGTTGTAATTGTGATTTAGTGATATGCCTCTTCCTAATGTCTTTTTCTTTAGTTCATGTAAATTAAGTTCTCAGATGCCTGAAACAATGTGTGTGTTTCTATTCCTGAGGGGAGTTGGAGAATTCATTAACTATTGTTTGGGAAGTGCTGGGCAGATAAAAACTCTCCAGAAATGCAGGTATCATTATTAGGTGCCTTCAATTTGTAAATCATCTTGAATAGGTTGTTTTGTTTTACTCTGTTTTGCTTGGGTATGAAAATAGTAGCTTCAAACCCAGTATTCAGCAAGAAGCAATTGATACAACAACAAAAATTGGCAAACTACCAATGTAGGTTTTTCAGCATTTTAAAGTTATTCACCATGAAGGTTTTAGAAACTGCTAAACCAGTCCAGCTGAGGAATCTAAATTCTAGGAAACTGTGTCACTAACCTTGAACAAGTGTATTAACTTCCATGGGTTGTGGTCTCGGCATCTAGAAGTTTGGGTAGTTGGGTGACATATTCCCTACAGACCCTTCCCACATTGGCATTTCCTATAATGCACCTGTTCACGCACTGGCTACTCATGGAGTCCTCACAACACATGGGCCACAAGGTTGAGGCCACCCTACCTTGTTTGTGGGTGAAGGGTTGCACAATTTTGCATGGTTGTAGAGCTAAGGGGGGCAGGGGTGGTGTGGTTCTCACATGTCTCCTCCACCTCATTCAATGGTTCTAGAACACTAGAAAGAGAGCAATACATGGACAGTATTGTGTTGTTATTATCTTGATTCCTCTCTAGCCACAGGGATCAGCTTGCAACTGGCCAAGAAAGATGACTGTTAGAGTATGCACCAACCCATGTCCATTCCTCTCCTCCCTTATGACCCAAGCCTGTTTCCCTGCAACTTATGGTGATAGAAGGAGACACCTGCTGACTGCCAGGCACCACTGATCCTTGCAGGGAGATGTGGAAGGAATTAAGGGCAAGTAGCACTGTTGAATCACCTTTAGATCTGCCTGATTTCTATTCTTATTTTCATTTGACTTGAAAGATAGAAAAAGATAGACAGGAAGAGATTGTCCTTCCACCAGTTCACTCCCTGAAGTGCTGGCAACAACAAGGGATGTGCCAGGCAAAAGCCAGGGTTCCGGAAGTCTATCTGTCCTCTCCTACTGGACTAACCCTTTATAGCTCCCTTTTTGTGGCTGATTCATTTAGAAAGAGTATAGGCTCATCCAAGATTTTCCAAATAATTGTCCACCTTGAACATGCTGTATCCTTGGATCATTGTGGGTAAAGCTGCCACGTGCAATGGCAGTATTCCATATAGGTGCCAGTTCATGCACTGACTGCTCCACCTGGAAGAGGGAGGGTAAAGTGGCAGGAAGATTGCTCAGCAAATTAAAATGGAAAGATCAAGCTGATCAGATAATGATCTAGGCCATCAGAGAGATAAGAGAAACGTAATGGACAGTTAGGCAGACAGCCAGCATGCAGGCTATATGGCCAGAGCCTTTCATAGAGACTCTGCCATGGCAAGCCGGAGGACTTGATGACATTTGACGACAGAGAGGATAAAGGTGGTCACAGAGAAAAAGCAGCAATCATAATAACGAAGCTATGACTGCTCTAAAGACAAGCACTGCCATCAAAGTTCTGGGAGGGTCTGGTGTCCTGGCACAGCCGGTTAGGCCACCCACGCAACAGCAGTATCCCATCCTGGAATCCAGTTGGGGTCTGAGCTGCTCTGCTTTCAATCCAGCTTCCTGCTAATCAAAGGACTGAAGATCTTCCCCTCTGTCTTTCCTGCTCTCTCTGACTCTCAAAAAAAAAAATTAAATAAAAGTCATCAACCCCAACAAATGATAAGCTTTTACATCCAGAGAAGCAGAGTTAATAGGGCAAACAGAGCAAGCATTTGGCACTGATTTAATTACACTCCCCAAAAAGTAATAAAATGAGACTGTTCCCCATAAAGAGCAATGTGTTAAGAGATCCCAGAAATGAAAAAGTTGGTGATTGAACTAAAAATCTGTATAAATAGCCAGAAGCATTGAAGTATATAAGACAGTAAGCCGAAGGGCTGAGCCAAGGAATTCTCTTGGAGTGGAAAAAAGTGGGCAAGGAGACAGCATTAAAAATGGCTAGAAGAACTGGTAGAGCCCAGAGTTGCTCTACTCAAGCTTTACAAGGCAGATGCTGAGAGCAGTCGGGAACAGGTTCCCAGGGTAAGGACAGGTGTGAGTCTTAGTTGAAAGCTCTACTGTGGCTTCACAGGACCAAGGACAAAGCACCCCAGCTAGATGCCTTATCAAGTGCTGGACTTTGAATATATCCCATTCCCTGGGCTTAGGTGTCACGCATCATCTGAGCACAGAATTTTAAAATTGAGATAATGTATATATCATGAAATTCACCCTTAACGTATGTAGTAAAATGGTCTTTAGTGTGGTCTTGTTTTTCTACCATCAGCACTTATCTAAGGCTAGGACATCTTAAGCATCCTCTGAAAGAAACTCTACAAATATCAGCCATCACTCTACATTCTCCCTTCCTCACAGCTCTTGGATACCAGCAATGGATTTGTTCACTTAGGACATTTCATAGAAATGATATCATATAGAGTCATACAGTATATATTGTATTTTGTGTCTAGCTTCTTGTCTTTAGCAAATGTTTTAAAATTTCATCCATGCAGTAGTCAATATCATTATTCACTTTTTGTTCCATTGCCAGGATGGGTTAGTGACTTTCATTCATTACCTTAGATAACATACTTGAGAAGAATTTCTTGGAAAGAAAAGGATTATTTTGCTTACCATTTGAAGGTTCAGAATTCAAGATCATATGGCCCCACTAACCTGGAATCTGATGGCAACTGGAGATGGCAGAGCTGGTGTGGAGGACAACCCAAGGTGAGTCAGGAAGCAGAGAATGAAGCCAGGCCAAACTTGGCTCAGAAAACCAATTCTTTTGCAAGAATTGCTTCCTGAGAGTATACCCCCAGAGACCTAAAGACCTAAAGACCTCCCACTGGTTCAATTTTTTAGCTATCATCCAGTTTCTACCTTCTCCTTTGTTTAAACATAAGCTTTAAAGGTTTTTTATTTTAAAGATTTATTTATTTTTATTGGAAAGATTTTTACAGAGAGGAGAGATAGAAAGATCTTCCATTCACTGGGTCACTGTCCAACTGGCCACAATGGCTGGAGCTGAGCCGATACAAAGCCAGGAGCCAGGAGCCAGGAGCTTCCTCTAAGTTTCCCAAGTGAGTGCAGGGTCCCAAGGCTTTGAGCCATCCTCAACTACTTTTCCAGGCCACAAGCAGGGAACTATATGGGAAGTGGAGCAGCCTGGACACAAACTGGTGCCCATATGGGATCCCAGCATATGCAAGGCAAGGATTTAGCCACTACGCTATCACACCAGGCTCTAGACATAGCTTTTTTTAAAAAAAGGTTTTTATTGTAAAGGTAGAGATACAGGGATAAAAATTCCCTCATTCACTCACTGGCCCACTCCCCAAATGTCCTCAATGCTCAGAGCTGAACTGATCAAAAGCCAGGAACCAGGGCCCTCTTCCAGAACTTTCTTGTGGGTGCAGTCTATCCTTCACTACTTTCCCAGGCCATAAGCAGGGAGATGGATCAGAAGTGGAGCAACTAGGACATAAACTGGGGCCCATTTGGGATGCTGGCACTGTAGGCAGAGAACTGGCCTATTACGTTGTGGTGCCAGCCCCAAGTCTCTATCCTTGTGACCTTAGATTAATGTGTCGGATTTGGGGATGTGGGTGGGGAGCCACATCCTTTCAATTTATCCATTTCTCAGTTGATGGACATTTGAGCTGATTCTGCTGTTTTTCTAGTACAAGTGATGCTGCCATGAAAATCCATGTCTACATTTTACTTGAAAAAAATTTTTCACCTATTTTGGTTGCATATGCAGGAGTGGAATTTCTGGGTCATATGGCAACTCTATACTTTAAAGAACTATCAAGTTTCCACAGTGCTTACACCATTTGTATTCCCAACTGCTGAACCAGCTCTCTGCTTGAGGAATTGTCAACTTCCTGGGGCACTTCTCAATACAGGTCTAGCTCAAAATCACCCAAGTCTGAATTTTAGCTTGACAGGGGTTCAAGTTCTCACTTTAGCATTACATATACTAAATTGAAATGACTTAGAGAAAATTAACATGGCACCTGTGCAAGAATAATATGAAAATACTCGAACTTATTCCATAATTTTTTAGTCACTTTGAAAAGTAAAAAATAAAGAAAAGCCCCTAAAGTGGACATGAGAGAAATGTTACATTACCTTCAAAGAATCTCCAGTTAGACTGACAGCTGATTTCTCATCAGAAACTACAGGTTAGGAGAAAATGGAGACAGTGCAAGCCCTAAAAGAAAATAACAACTGTCAATCCAGATACTGTATCCAACAAAACTCTCACTTATAAGTAAAGGTAAAATAAAAACCTTTCAAAACATTTTGGGTCTCTTCAACCATGTGGGAGAACCAGCATGAGCTCCTGGTTCTGCCTTCAGCCTGGTCCTGGCCTGGCTATTGTGGCCATTTGTGGATGGAAGCTCTTTCTGTCTCTCCCTCTTTCTGTAATTATGCCTCTCAAATAAATAAAACAAACTAGCAGTTAAAATAAAACCCATTCCTCCAAGACAACAACAGTTGCCAACTACTTCACATCCCAAAGTGAGAGGAGACTCATGAAACAGAGCTCGCAATGGAGATATCTGAGAACTGTGGCTCATCCATTGAGTTGACCACCTACCATAGAGGCAGCAACAGAAGACACAACGAAGGGCTGGAATTGAAGAGAGGAAAGACATGTGCTAAGGATCTCACCCCCTTCTGCAGGGTGATTCAGCATAACCACAGAGCGAGGGAAGGGGCCATAAAGGAAGCTTACTTTGTATTTCTACAGTTTGGAGAACACGTTGCTTTCTCATTGTTGCAGGCAAGAATAGGTTATATTTAGGAGGTAATTATTGCCTTTCTTTTGTACCTCCCATGGATCAGACATGGTCACATGCAAGAGAAAGCAGCTCTGAGCATGTCTTAGAGTGAAGAGGATCGTCAATCCTGCCCAAGACGCCTCCTGGAGGGATGAGGACATCTCAGTGGAGAGAGGCTAGGAGTCCCACTGGATGCACAGACACTGATAAAACAGTGTGTTGCTTTACCTGGGCTGCCATAATTTAACAGCACAGGCAGGTGCTTCCATAGAAGAAATGTACTGCCTCTTGCTTCTGCAGGCTGTTGAGCAAGATCAAGTGCTAGCAGGATTGGTTCCTTCTGAGAGAAGAACCTGTTCCAGGCTTTTCTCTTTGGTGTACATGTCCACATTCTTACCAACTCTTCGCATGGTCATGCCTGTGCCAAACCCACACTGGTGTTCCTCTGTGTGTTCAAATATTCTCTCATAAGAACATGAATCAGCCTGGATTAGTACTCTCCTCAGTAGCCTTGTTTTAACTTAATTCTTGCAAGGCCAAGGAGAGATGAAGCTATTTTCTCAGGACCCTTTAAGCACACCTTGAGACAGAGTCAGAAGCAGGCAAAGAGATCAACCCCAGATGCTTCCAGCCATGATGGGAAAGCCTCCTGCCACCTAAGGGGAAGTGGACACCCCTGAAGGGACACACAGGCTCAAAGCAACCAAGTTTTTCCCATTCCTTTGCCAATCATTCATTTTGCACACCCACATCTGATGTCCCTCTATTTGCCCAAAGTTTTTTTTTCTGAGGATTCCTGTCAGGATAGCCAAGAGCTCCACTTTTGAATAGAGTCCAGAGTCTGAACAACACATAGGTGGAATCTTCTAAAGGCTAAAATGATAGCTCTGTGGCTAGATGACCAGAAGGCTCTTAATGATCTGAAGATGGCCGAGAGGTCAAGGGATCAGCCCTAGATGTTATCAGGGGTCTTAGAACTGGCCTCTCCATGACACTTGAATGGAACATGTAGGCTGGGTGTGGCAGCAGGAAATAGAATGTTCTTAGGGTTCTTATGGATTAACTCATTCTTCCTGTTCAATGTACACATATCCCTGCAATGAAATAAAACTCACATCTTTGATGATCACAAAAGAATCCATTAGACTCTAGAAAGATCACAGAAAGATATGAATATGCATGAGGCACAGCTGTTAGGTGGTATGGATCAAGGTGGTCAAATCTGTCCACCAAGCACTAGATTTGACGACCTCGGTCAGACCACCCCAGATGGTACTTTGAGTTGAGGCAGGAGTACCTGGAGTAGCAGGTGCATGCTGGGTATGCATTATCTAAAGAAGGAACAACAGGCTGGGCTAGGGTGGGATGGAGTGGGGGCTACTCAAACTTGGAAACTATTGGAACAGCTTTGTCCTTCTATTTATCCCAGGCTTCTGTGGCTAGGAAACTCTTTTGTGGCTCTATCAATAAAAGCTCTCAAGAAAAAGCATTGGGGTAGGCATTTAGCCCAGCAATAAAAATGCTAGGTAAGACCTTCACATTGGGGTGCCTGGGTTGGATAACCAACTCTAGTTCCTGACTCCAACTTTCTGCTTACGTAGACCATGCTGAAGGCTTTGGGTTCCTGCCACTCAGATGGAAGACTCCTACTGAGTTATCGGCTCCTGGCTTCAACTCAGCCTCACCCTGGTTGTTGCAGGCACTTGCAGAGTGAATCAGCAGATTTGATTTCTCTCTTTCCTCTCACAAACTAAAAAGAAAAAAAAAGTAAAATGAAGAGATCATTCCAATGCAAAAATTGAAAACCTAGTTTTCTCATAATTTGTATTTCCTTGAACTTTAAGAAAATTATCTCATATACATAACTTTTTTTTTTTGGTATCAAACTATCCTGCACATTAGATGCTCAAGCACAGCAGGAGGCATCTGAACAGCAGTCTAATAGAGCTGGTCTGAACCGTGGGTCTTTTGGGTAACAGTGACTGAGAATGGGCAACGACTCAGCCATTGTTAGAAGGCTCATGATGATCATTTTGTCTTCAAAGACAACCTAATTTGAAAATAGACAAAAGATATGAGTAAGGATGTCTTCACAGAAAGTATAAAAAGGGGTGACAAATACATAAAAGGACTCTCTACACTGTTAGTCCTCAGGGTAATGCAAATCAAACCACATTGCAACACCAGTTTATACACACAGGGATGGGCACAACCACAGAGAAGTGGATGCAACCTTAACACAATTGCTGTTGGGAAAGTTAAGTGGCCCTGCTTCTGTGGAACTGTGCTTAGCAATTCCTCACAAGATGAAATATGGGGTCACCTTGTGATCCGGCAACTCGACATCTGGGCATATTGACTCAAGAGAACTGGGAAGATATCTTCATGAAATTCACACCAGTATGGTTCACAGTAGCCAAAAAGTGGGGACAATTCAAAGTGCATTAACTGATGAATAAACAAACAGAATGTGGTAGACTGAATGCAACAGAACATTTTTCAGCCATAGACAAGAATCAAGGGCAGCTACATGCCAGAACAGAGATGCACCTTAAAAACATGAGGCTAAGAGGTAAGGCAAAAATGGCCAAACCTTTAGAATCCATTTTCAGGACATGTTTAGAATAGGCAAACCCAGAGACATAAAGTGGACTTGTGTTTTGGGGGGGATAAGGAGAAGGAAGAATGGGGAGAGACTGTTGGGGGGTTAGGGTTTCTTTACGGGGTGATAAAAATGAGATTGAACTGTATGGTGGTGAAGGTTGTACAAGTTTGCACATATCCTGGGAACTGCCAGACCTCACATGTTAAAGGGAGAATTTTCAGGTTTCTGAATTATATCTCAATTTCTAAACATGTACTGAGTCAACGTGAACACCCAGCAGAGGATGTTACATGGACTTTGGTAGATGTTTACACCATAGATACTGTGCAATTTTCAACAAGGTCAATTTCTATGCAGTGATACCAAAAGATGCTCAAGGTGTATTGGTAATGATACATTTCAGAACATAAAATAGTACAATGTGATCATATTTGTGTTACACACACACACAAACACCCCACCCCCCATTATTTCAGACATACTCAACTGACAAGAATTACTCTCTTTTGGGTGCAACTGAATGGAAACATTTATCTATTTGTATTGTGTACATTTTTAAAATGAGAGTGTACATTTGTTTTTTTTTTAAAGATTTATTTTTATTATTTTTTCATTGGAAAGGCGGATATACAGAGAGGAGAGACAGAGAGGAAGATCTTCCATCCGATGATTCACTCCCCAAGTGAGCGCAACGGGCCGATACTATGCCGATCCGAAGCCAGGAGCCTCTTCGGGTCTCCCACGCGGGTGCAGGTTCCCAAAGCTTTGGGCTGTCCTCGACTGCTTTCCCAGGCCACAGGCAGGGAGCTGGAAGGGAAGCGGGGCTGCCGGGATTAGAACCGGCGCCCATATGGGATCCCGGGCGTGGAAGGCGAGGACCTTTAACCACTTGCGCCACGGCGCCGGGCCCGAGAGTGTACATTTGTATTACCTGTTTGAAGATACATTTTGTTAGCTTTTTGCACCAAGTATTTAAATGTATGAAATATGTCACAGTGCAACAGTTTGCAGTTTGCATTAGTGTACTGCTTCACAGTCAACAAAGCTTGGAGGTGCAAAGCACAACAACTAACCCCCAACACAAAATCAAACCTCCAAAACTCTTGGTTAGAATATTCCAGCCCCTTCCAGCTCATCTCATTTCTCCTCCATTCTAAAGCAGTGCCAACTAGTCCCCATCACATGCCTTTTCAAACAGCAACCCCTCTTCTTTCAAATGCTGCCATCCATCCCTTTTCATTGTTTGGATGGGTTGATACTTTTGTGAGCAAAAATGTAGTTTGTGAGTCATTGACGCTACTTAAAACAGAATGCTGTAACACAAGCAAAAGGACATTATGCTTAGAAATTCAAGGAAGACACAGTGGGATACTTTGGAGACAGTGATTTCAGAGTTTATTAAGACATTAAAAAAGTAATTTCACTGGTGAGTTAATATTTCCCCTTAAATACAAAAGTGCCTATTCTTACAAATCCTTAAGGCTCATTCTTTTACAATACAATGTTTCTCCATTCTAGAAATTATGAGTGTCACATGAAATAAAGAAAGAGAAAAAATTTCCAAATAGCAAATATGCAGCCAAGAATTTCATCATCTTCATACGTATAAATTTTAGACTGAGATAACAGATCCTCCTGGACAAATTCTCTGTTATAGATGAGTTCTCAACTTCTTCCTCATATCCTGCCAGAATACTTCACTCCAGAGTAATTCAGAATTTGAATGTGGGCTTTACTTGCTGGAAGATAAATATAACTATGAGGGACCAACATTATATTCATATAAGAGACATGCGAGTACACACCATTATCCGACAGTGAGGAGATGCTGAGGAAGTTGCCTGGGGGGTTGTGACCTTTTTTGTAGGAATAAGAGATCTGGCTGCTCAGTGAGAATCAAGTTTCCTGGGTCAGAGTATTCAAGATGGGCTGGAGGGGCTATTCCTTACTAAAGCTGCTGATCTTCATTAATTGTCTGAGTTAAGACTTTTAATAGATACTCAAAATCACTGAGAAGGGCACCCAAGGTCATTAGCAGTGATGTCTGTAATGCCCGTGCTACTTGGATGAACAGAGTGACTGCCAACACAGATTCTGGACTTTTCTCTGTAATAACATACACACACACTAACAAGAAACTCCAAACACTTTCACACCGAGGAACTGGACGAATGATGAAAACAGAATTGGACCCAACATTTTCAAGGCTACAATATGTATATGCACACAATGTGAACTGCTATACAGATTCGTCCTATTCAAAGTCCTCTTCGATTCTTGCAACCATCCCAAGAACGACTTCTGTAGAGGGAGACTAAGGCCCCATCATTTGCTTCTGTGGTTTTTAAAGCTGGACCATGGAAGAGTCTCATGGGAAGCAGGCAGGCTTCCACATTGCTGATGGCTTTCCCAAGATGGAGATGCAGAATCTGTAATGATGTCAGCAGTGACACAGTCGGCCTGACATCAGAACATTGACTCAGGGTTGCCAGTTCCAGGAACAGATCCTCAAGATGACAGAGCATACAAAAAAATGCTGGATATTTAAGGTTCCTTCACCAGTGGAAGCAAATTTCATGGCAGTGATTTGAATTGTCTACAGAATCCTACAAGCAAGGGAGATATTATTCTGAAACAGGAGTATTTGTTCCTTCACATCCCTCTTGAGCACAGGTGAAATTCAAGTGTCCAGCAGGTGTTGCTTTTTTTGCTGATGGATTTCATGTTATAGTGCTATAATTTTTTTAACCTAAATGCCAAGGGGCCTAGTGGACAAGGTCTTGGACTCCTGTAGTAAGGTCATTAGTATCGATCTGAGGTTAAGTTAGGCTGGATCTTTTAGCATCTCCAGCCATCTTTCCATCTTCCTGGGGAAAGGCTAAGAAAAGAGATTTCTGGTGAGTACAAAAGGAAGGGGTTCTTCTGAATTTTTCATGATTATTTTGGTTAAGCTCCAAAGCACTGGCTTAGTGTGGAAGACCACAGTGGACCTGTGTCTAAACCTCATGTAAGAACTAAAAATGTCAATCTACCATTTAGGGCTTTGGCTCTACTCTCACAACACACCAACAGCACCAGGTGGATTCTTCAGGCTCTGTCCAGCTATTGGGATTGTTAAGTCTTGGCTGAGTATTATATACATCAATGAGGTTTTATGCCACTCTTCCTCTCTTCTGGTTCACTATCAAGCTTCTCCCCATAATTAAGTAATTGTGTTGAGGTAACCACATAACCCACCAGACAAAAACAAAACCATCAATTTTCTCCAAGGAGGTTTCCTCTTACACGAAACTCATGAGACACACAAGTCCCTTATGTCAGATCTCATTTTGCAGGAGTAACCTCCCAGAGCATCTGTCCTCCCACAATCCCCACCCATCAGCCGCACACCTACAGAAAACTTCACCAGCAGAGGCACAAGGTTCACATCAAGAGAATGAATATTTGCAGCCAACAAAATCAACCATGAGAGTGTGGGGAAATCACTTTGCAACTGTACTAGAAATTGGGCTCTATGTTTGAAGCCCAGGGTTGAGGAGGCAGGCTAAGTTCTCATGCAAGGTGGCTGACACTGTAAGCTGGAAGCCAGTGATGTTTCTTCCCCTTTCCACCTGGATACAGCTTGGTCTCCCAATTCCCTAAAGCTAGTGCTGAACAACAACAAAACAAAACAAGGTAAGATTGTGTTGCAGCCCTGCAATATGCATTGGAGAGTTATGCCTGCAACCAGGAAGCAGAGGAGTACACAGGCGATGGAACACCCTGCCCACTCTGTTCCTGTCTCCCTCCTATGTCTTGGGGTAGGGGGCAGGGTGCACCCAGGAAGTGCTATTTCCACCTTGTATACTTGTATATCCTTGGTGCCGCATTTACAATGTTGTTCTTTGGCCTCAGATCTTACAGTAATGTGTATTCGCCACTGAGGGAATCATCCCAAAATGTTTGTCCCAACTTCATATCTGCTCAACAAGGTGGTTGAGTCATTGAGTTCACCAAGAGGAAACTGAAGCATGCCCAGGAACTTTCTTCAAGGCTTAGGTGCAGCAGAACAATGGGAAAGAGGATCTAGGCATCCAGTTCTGCCCTCCCTAGCCTCAGTGAACTCCAGTATTGAAACTGGGATCCCCGAAGTACCGCCAACCCCCACCCCACACCAATGTTGATGACCCCTGCTAAGAGTTCAGTCATCAGAGCTCCTACAGAACTTAGGAGCAAAAGACTCAAGCAAACAATAGCAAAAAATGAAGCCAAGTCACAAAGAGGAGAACATTTGGGGTTAGTTCAAAGTCCTGGGAATTTCAAGGGGTTAATAATCAGTTGGTGTATTGCGTGAAGTTAGAGTCTAAAGGTTCCCACCTCACCACTAACTGGGGTCTCATTAGTCACTGCCCGAGCCACAACAGCATCTGCAATGCCAAGGACAGATTCTATGCTGAGAACAAGGCATGGACACTGGGTGTTCTAGGAGGAAGGTGACAGAGGGGACTCAGGGTATTCTTATAGGTCAAGCACTGCTATCAACACTCCTCAGCATGCAGAAATTCTCTTCTTGCTTAGTTGGGAAACTAGAAATAAAGAGATCACAAATACTGGAAAGAATTAAGCTTTGTTCTAAGGGAAAACTGAAAAAGCCCTAGAGAACCAGAAGGAGACTAGAATATCCTAATTATTTTCATGGCCCAACAGCACCGTCTGAAAATACCCTTCACTGGTCCCATGGATGCCATGTCTGGTAGGAGCATTTCTCGATCAGCTTCTCCAACTTGGGAAGCACTTCCGAGGGTTCCAATCCACTTCTCAGGCCCCATTAGCACTTCCTGATGCTTACAGACAGATGCTAGTATTTGTGTTGACTTGCAGTTAGGGCCTTGAATTCACTCCTATCTTTGAAAGTGGCTGTAAGAGGTGGATTTTAAAAAGTAATGCACAAGGATTTAATCCCCTGATTCCCATTACTGTTTAAGCTGTGAGTATAAATCCCCTAGCAGCTGACCCCAAACTTACCCTCTGCTGTCTCAGAGTGCCAATTAAATAACAGAAACCAGAACCATGGCCAGCTATAATTAGTTGGAGAACTTGAGTTTTATCATTTTCCTCATGCCAAGCAAATTAACCCCTCTGATGACACACAGAAAATAATCTGGGCAAAGAGAGAATGCAAATCTCAAATCTGAACATGTTGCATGCTATTTGCCTGGTTGTCACAATACCAATAAACTGTGTTCTTCTGGGGACAGAGACATGAGAGAACAAACCCTGACTTCAAATAATGGAAAATGTGGATGATTTCCCTCCCGATAAAAAAAGTCTTTCAAAATGCTAGTTGGTCCAGATTTCATTAAAAAAAAAGTCTCATTTCTTAAAAATAATCATTTGGATACAAACAGACTTCAGCTGTGAAGTAGTCAAAACTGCCCAAGAAAAATTCTTGCGTGAAGACAGTATTCCACCTCTGGAATACCCAGCTCAGTGGCTCCTGGACCAGGCAAAGCCAGCAGCCCTGTCCTGGCCGTCTTTGGTGACCTATGTCAGGCTTTGGTCACATCCCTCTGTTCCATTAATAAGGAGTCACCAAAGGGAATAAACCCCTGGGACATTTTTCTCTCTTGACCCTCAGTTGTAAATGATGGTATAGTGAGGGGAAAGGACAGGCTAATCTGAGCTTCAAGACATGGTGTGGACAAAACAAAACCCTCATTTTTGTTTTGTTGTTTCTTTAGTTTGGGAAGAAGGAAAAGGACCAGGGTGAAAATGAGTTTCCCAACAACAAAAATCCTGCCCCTTAGAGACTATCTCACGCCAAGGACCTGGCATAACATTTCCATCTTCATTAGCTTGAGTTTCTCTCATGTGACTCATTCAAATGTTCTAAGTGTGACTGTGTCATGTTGACTTGAGTTGCAAAGACCTGACATTTAAGTCCGGAAATTCATGTGTGACATTAAAGAACCACTGAGTATAACAGTAGCTGAGCAGGCATCCATGGTCACCAGGAGGATCTTGAGCATCCTACTGGGAATTCCCTGGGACGCCAGAGACCGTGCATGTGCGTGATGAGAAATGGGAAACGCGAGCAGGAAACCACTGCTGTGAAACACTTCCTTCCCCATGAAAAATACCAAACTTCATCACCAGAAGCCATGAGTGCTACAGTGAAAACAGTTGTCAAACAGCAAGGTTACTCCTCAAGGCATGATGAACTGGAAGCCACAGTACTGATAGGAATGTATCTTGATTCTTCAGTTTCCTTAGAAAAATATACATAGAAATTCATGGTTATTTTGTACGTACAACTCGATTTCTCTCATGTACAACATAAATCATTTAATGTAACATTTGTAACCTTAGAAAGGCAGACATATTTAATCCAAGTCCGTTTATAAATCCCAATTTCACATGGATTAAAAACTGCAAGATAAATTAAGTCACAATAATATCCTGTACATGCATTAAGGCTGGTGACTGCTAAAGTCTCTTGGGTATCTACAAACAGGAAATCACACACAGATTACTGGGTCTGAAGGGTATCTACGTCATTTAAAAAAATCTTGCTTTTGTTTTCGTTTTTTCTTTTGGTGATACAGATTTCAACAGCAACTCTGGAAAACCGTGAAAAATGTTATTTAAAAATATATATGTATATGCTACTGCACAGTTTCAAAGATGTGATTCTTAAATAACGTTGACTGCATGGATTCTTATTTTGAAACAATTACTGCACTTCCAAGGTGATGAGAACACGCAGTGACTTATACTCATGGTTAGGCACTAGTTCTATCTGTCAGGCGCACTATAGTTTTGTGTTAGCTGTATTGTACATATATATTTCTAAATGTATGCATTTATACAAACTGTGTATATTATGTATGGGGTGTCAGAAATGTACACATCACTTACATATTAGCACACACATCATTGTTGTACACAGTAGGATGAGTTTTAGTGCATTGCATTACAAGTGTTCAACCTAGTGTCAACGCTTTAGATTACTTTTCCAGCACATTCCTCTCAATATAATTGGTCTAAGCTTCCATTTATGTTGTTTCAAAGTTTCCAGAAATGTGTTCTAACTTTGTTCTTTAGGCACAATTCTGAGCAAGATTTTGATCTGAAAGATAACTCTAACCCTATTGTAAAGGAGGGCATCCTCTCAGGTCACAGCAGGAGAAGGTCAGCTGGAGAGGTGTGGGGTGTCTAAGGAAAGAATAAGTCTTCAGACGGAGAAAAGTGAGAGCAAACACGGGTTGAAAGGCAGGAGATCTTGGAAGGATATACACCAAACCTTCAGGGAGCGCTTGTCTCGGGGAGACGGGACAACCACAGAGTTAAGATATTTAAACTTCTTCGCTTCTGAAGTGTTGGACTTTTTACGATGAGAAAATATGACACTGATCACAGAAAACACCAGGAGGATATTTTGGCTTGGAAAGAAAAACAGAAAGACTGAGCGATGAGTGACTTTCATAAGCAAAAAATCAGAAGATGGTTCCTGTCCAGAATCATCTACACCAAACCCAACAGAAACCACTGGCCCAGCGAGCTCCACGGCGAAAGGAGACTGCCAGGACCTGCACACTCTGGCCAGCCCCCAGCATGGCATACCCCCAACATGGCCAGTTTCAAGAAATCAGACTGGGAACCACCTGGGTCCTCAGAGTGTAGAGACACCATCGACACAGCCATCCAGACGCCACCCACCTGTCTCTGCAGGGCTTTGTGGGTAAGCACACCCAGGACTGCAACTTTGAAGATCTGGGCAGTTCTTTGGGGGATGCATAAGAGGCTGCCTACGTCAGCCCTCCATGTGACAGTTTGAAGGTTTCACAGGAAGTCACCAGAAATGAAGTAGAACAAAGTTTCAATCCTGCTATGAACGAAAACAAAACAAAACAACCCACTCCAACTTCTTCAGTTGATTCAAAATCTCCCACACAAGATGGGGTCCTGAATTCTGACAACCAGCGAAGGGACTGAAGAAGCACCTTAGGCGGAAGCACGCAGAATGGAAACGCTTCACATTTCCCAACGTTTGGAGGCCAAAGACAGATACCAGTTTCATAGCCCTTTACTCGCTCAGTTTTCAATTAACTTCAAATTACCAAAGTGGTTCAATCATTAGTATAGTTTTTAATCAGTGCTTAAAACTAGTGAATGGTGGCGACTGTATTTTCCACCCACAGATCAAGCTGACCCAAATGTTAACACTGCAAGCGAACCTCAATCAGTGAAAACACACGTTACGCACCGAGAGCCTTGGAAAGTGGCTTGCCCCACGCAATGTCTGTCTCAGACCATCCTGGTGCAATTTTGTCAAGTAAGAGGCCTCAAGGACATTATTTCTGGTTTTAAAGTGTGGTAACATACACGCTCTACTGGGAAGTCATTTTAAGTGACTCTTTTACATCAAAATAACATTTAACAAGACTAAATCTAGGGTATGACAAGACATTATAAAAGAAAGAAACTTCAGACAAAAAAATGTAAACAAGATATGAAAAAAGTAAAATGTAAACTTACTTAATAATCATAAACAAGAACAGAAGGAAGGGTGCGGGGGATAAACAGATCGGATGCATATGAGATAAGCAAGACACACTGGTCCCTGCTCCCCCAAACAGAACTGCGCCCACTGCAGGAATAATTTCCCCTGTACTGCCAGCAGCTTGCTCAGCAAAGCCTGAAAAATAGCCCTCAAGCCCAAATGCATGAAAGGCCTACCGAGGCACATCCTGCAGGGGGAGTGAGGGAGGCACGTGGCATTAGGACAGCGGTCAGCACTTGGCCTGATAGGCACCTAGCGAAGGGACACCCTGGGTCATGTCCATATTTGGCCAAGAAAATTGGTAAGAAAGCTGTCGGAGACATGGGAAGACTGCTAATGTGTTGGCTTGCAGACCACACATGGCTTTTCAGCCACTGAGTGAGTCCACTGGCAGGAGGGAGGCGGGGACTATGCCCGGAGGGCTTGCTGTGACAGGTGCAGTAGCCTGCACTTCCTGAGTCCGCACTGCTTTCACGTTTGCTCAACTCCTAATGATGCTGAGTGTTTATCCAATCCTGGGGTCATTTCTCTACTATTCTGGGCTGGGGCAGGGAAGGCTGTGGATTAGACCATTTGATTGTTTGGAGCCAACGATGATGTCGGACTGAGGGGAGCAACGGTTATGAGAAGGGTGGGATGTTTGGGCACATGCAACCCGGTAAATGCCTGGCATCAAAATAACCAACTGTTTTCATTATTCCATTACCCACAAATACAGGCCAATCAAAGAAACTGGGGGAATAGCACATTAACACTGAAAGTAACTGACAGCCTAAGAGCCTGCTCTGTCTGAAGCGGCGCTCAAGCTCTGGGTGTGCTGTATTGCACCTGGTTGCCTAACCACGGGATTTTGGTTGAACTTCTAAGAAGTCATGGTTCAGCACTGGAACAGAAGGTGTGTATTTGTGATTGTGTGCATGTGTGCATGGGCAGACTTCCTTCCATCAGCTACCTCTGATGCTCTCGTCTAGCCTGAGGTTACAACAACTAGACAGAGTGTGGGAGAGCCGTATCTTACACACACACGCACACACACACACATACCTTCTTGCACACCTGCATATACAAACACACATGCCCTGGGGAGGGGAAAAAACTGCTGCTTGATGCTGAGGAAATGTTCATCACCACTTGATCAACTGCTGTGGCTGCGAATTTCAGTAGCACAGTGTCCAGAAACAGTGAGCTGTCCGTGGGGGGCAGCCGAGAGCCCAGTCCGGCTCCTGGGTGGGGGCCCTACGCCAGGTGGGTGCTGTTCCGAAGCCAGTGCAGGCCCTGCTGGGAGTACTGGACCAGGTGCTCCATGCTGCTGTGCAGGGTGACAGGCCCCATGAGCAGATCCAGGTCGTTGAAGAACTCTAGGGGGTAGAGGAAACTGTTAGGAGTGTCATGAATGCACTCAGGGTGAACAACTTGCAACAACTTAGGAACAAAATTCCATAGTTTTGTTTGTTTGTTTGTTTGTTTTTTACAGAGACCAAGGACTCGCCATGTCATCTTCAGCATCCCTTTGGACAGAACCAAACCAAATGGTGGGGTGCTCACCCCGTATCCAAATGAACAAATAAGCTGCTACCTGCATTTCTAAATGAATAGCATCAACTTAGCCAAGTTACCAAGGGGACCCCGACACTCAGACTGCCTTCTTCTAAGTTCAGTAACAGCTTCCACCCTGATGTCAACATGGCCTGGTCACCCCCTGCCCTGTCCTCAGGCACTGCACGCGCTGGGCCCTAAGAACAAATCCAACAGGCGAGGCTCTGGGATCCTGCAGGCTCTGGGATCAGAGCGAGGTCCTGAGACATCCCAACAGAAGGAGCCTCCTGGCTTCCGGACAGTCTCTGCATTTGTTCTCTCACTAACCATTTATTATGTGCCACTGCACTCAGCCCAGTGTAGCAATGGGGCAGGTCAGGGGAGGATTCCAAAATGAACCCCAGATGGGCTCTGCTCTCTGAAAGATCAGCTTAGTGGCTGATAAAGACCTGCAGGTTTGGGCCTGGTATGGTAGCCTAGTGGCTAAAGTCCTCACCTTGTATTTGCCAGGATCCCATATGGGCACTGGTTCTAATCTTGGTGGTCCTGCTTCCCATTCAATCCCCTGCTGTGGCTGGGAAAGCAGTAGAGGATGGCCTAGAGCCTTGGGACCCTGCACCCGCGTGGGAGACCCAGAAGAGGCTCTTGGTTCCTGGCTTTGGATCGGCTCAGCTCTGGCTGTTGCAGCTGCTTGGGGAGTGAATCAGCGGATGGGAGATTTTCCTCTCTGTCTTTCCTCCTCTCTATATATCTGACTTTCCAATAAAAATAAATAAAATCTTTTTAAAAATCTGCATGTTTACATGGCCACTAGTCACAGTGGGGTCACGGGGTAGCACTCTCTGGAAGTCAGTAGTTAGGTTAAGCTCCTCAAAGGCGAGAACACTTCAGAAACTGTACAGCAGGGGCTAAGGTGGTAGCTCAGTCAAGCCATGGCCTTATGATGCCAGCATCCCATTCTGTTGGTTTGGTCCCAGCTGCTCCACTTCTGAACCAACTCCCTGCTAATGTGCTTGGGAAAGCAGCAGATGGCCCTAGTGCTTGGGTCCCTACCAGCCACGGACAAGACCTGGATGGAACTGCTTCCTGGATCTGACCAGGCTCAGCCTCTATGCCACAGCCATTTGGAGAGTGAACCAGCAGATGGAAGCTCTCTCTCATTCTGCCTTTCAAAGGACAAATTTTATCTAAAAAAAAAAAAAAGTTCATGGGAAATTGAATTAAGGAATAAGTATATGTGGCTGTAAAAAATTTTGAAATCTATGCAAAGGGTCTTCACAAACTTCATAGGAATGCATATTATGAGAAACTACATGTGATCTCAAATACACTTTTAATTCTGTTTTCCATGAACTTTCTAAAGTCCCCCCATAAATGCAGAATGCAGTCCTGGAGAAGGGAAGGGCCATGCAGGCCTTTACACTGCACATGGCTGTGGCTGGGCAGACAGGCATGGCAGGGTTCTGGGAGCACGTGGGGAAGCGGGAGGGAGACGGACAGAGAGTAAAGGAGGAGGAAGAGGAGGAGGTAAGGTGGGGGAGCAATGCTGAGCGTGCCCAGGGCACCTGGCACTGAGCTCTCTGTGGCGTGAGCTGCTCAGGCGCCCCAACCTGCACAGGTGTATTTCTGTGTGCCTGTCCCCTCTGTTCCCTTCCCCTGGTCATTTCAGGCGCTCTACACCATGCGCTCCTCTCTCACGGCATCCTCGCTGGACTTCCAGGCTGCTCTGCTCGGCACTGGCTTTTATAACACTGCCGCTGCTGGGATGCACCTGGGCCACTGGATCCTTGTGGGCACCCTGCTCTCGCCCTCAGAAGGTCACCGTCTCAGGGGAACGCAGGTGGCAATGAATGGCTCCCAAAGAGAGCTCAGGAGTACACTGCACCTGCTGCTGAACTGGCGTCATCTTTCAGGAGGGGAGCAGACGGCAGCCATTCAGGCATATCCTTCAATAGCCTGTACTTTCTCCTGAGACAATAATCAGAAACAGCCCTGATTTACTACATAAGATACTGTCACAGGAGAGAAGAGAAACAACCTACCCGCTGACATCCAGGGACACGGTGTGAGTGACAACATTTGAACGTTGCATAATCGTAATCAGAGAACATTAAAGAACCATCATCAAGGATAGGTTTAGTTATTTTTATTTAGTTATTTTTCAGCCACATAGAGGAGAAGGAAGAAGAGAAAGAGACGGAGGCGGGAGGAAAGAGTGAGCGAGTGAGCAGGTTCCTGCCCGCACTCCCTGGTTCCTGCCCCAAACGTCCACAATGGCAGGGACTGCAGCCAGGAGCCAGAAGTGGAACCCAGGTCTGCCATGCAGCTGGGAGGGGCGCCTCACTTGAGCCATCGTGCTGCCCACCCCGGGTCTGCATTAACAGGAAGCTGGAGTGCACGGCTAGAGGCAGGTACGGAAGCCAGGCACTGTGACGTGGGGACACGGGGCTGTCCTGCTATGCTGAACACCTGCTCCGTGAAAGGCGTTTCTGATGCAGCATCACGAGCAGTGTCTGACGAATGTTAAAGGAACAAAAGAGATGCGGGGTGACCTTACCTTTGCAAGCATAATTAATGTGTATCAAGGGAAGAAAAGACTGAAAGAAACTGGCAGAATGTTAACAGAGGGTACTTCTGGTGCTAAGATTACTGGTAACTTTAAAAAGCTAATTTTTTTTCTTTGAGATTTATTCATTTTTGTTTGAAAGTCAGAGTTACAGCGAGAGAAGAGGAGAGACAGGAGACAGATCTTCTACCCTCTGGTTCACTTCCCAAATGGTTGTGACAACCAGAGCTGGGATAGTCAGAAGCAAGGACTTGGGGCATCTTGTGCTACCTTTTTTGCAGGCACATTAGCAGGGAGCTGGGTCAAAAGTGGAACAGCCAGGACATGAACCAGCACCAACATGGGATGTCAACATCAGAGGCAGAGGCTCTAAAAGTTAATTCTATGTGGTTTTCTAAACTCTGCAAATTTAACCATAATGAGCATGAGTTACATTTATAACTAGTAAAAATGTGATTTTAATTTTCTTTTTAAGATTGTTTTTAATAGGAAAGTCAGATATACAGAGAGGAGGAGAGACAGAGAGGAAGATCTTTCATTCACTGTTTCACTCCCCAAGTGACTGCAATGGCCAGTGCTGCGCCGATCCGAAGCCAGAAACCAGGAGCTTCCTCCAGGTCTCCCACGCGGGTGCAGGGTCCCAAGGCTTTGGGCCGTCCTCAACTGCTTTCCCAGGCCATAAGCAGGGAGCTGGATGGGAAGTGGAGCTGCCAGGATTAGAACCGGCGACCGTAAGGGATCCTGGTGCACTGAAGTTGAGGACTTTAGCCACTAGGCCATGGCACAAGAGCTTGCTCACTCGCTCATTCATTTGCTCACACACTCGGTCACTCATTCACTTATTCATTCAACGTCTCAGAGCTCCCGTTGGGTTCCAGGCACCGTGCTAGGTTGTAGCAGTCCAAAGCTGAGCAAGACATCCTTTTTCAAAGGCGCTTACAGCCTAACGGGGGAAAACCCAGGTGTGTCTGGCTGTGCCTACAGCTGCGATGGCTTCCATCCCTCAGTCGTACCAGTACCAAACCTGCCACTGCACACGTGCGAAAGACACGGAGGCCTCCAGGGAGGGCACAGGTCAGGAAGGGTGTCACACAGCAGGTGACATGAACTGCTGCTCTCTCCTGTGGAGAGGAAGGCTGGTACCCCAGTGGGTCAGGCCGTCTCTCCAGCTGTGGAACCCAGCTCTGCACCCTCCCGTCACCCGGAGACGCACACACCTCTGTTCTCCTTGGCCAAGTTGTCGGCCATCTCCCAGTAGTCGTAGCTGTGCAGGATGCTGTTGGTGATGCTGACATGATTGGCTGCCATCTGGTGGATGCGCTGTGGGATGCTGATGATGGTTGACGGGGACAGGGCGCTGGCGCTGGACAGGCTGCCCTGAGACCCCACGGAGCTGGTGGGAGAGGGGTTGGGAGACATGGGGGATGGGGTTCCAGTGCTCCTGGAGGGGGGAGAGGCAGAGAAACCAGAGTGGAGAGGCCCAGAGCAGGTGCGGCAGGGCAGCATGCATGGCCTGCACACCACGCCCGCTCACGAGAAGTGAACTTACTTTCCACTGGACCCCCACGGGGATGGGGCCTGGGCAGCTTTTGATGAATTCTGCAGGGGAAAAAAAAAAAGACAGGGAAGTTGAGTGCACGACTCCCTGCTTCAACAGTTCAACAGTTGTTGGTCACCTGAGAAGGAAGGGTTGAGGACATCATAGGGACAGCTTGGAGGAGGCCCCAGGACACAGCTCCTCTCCCAGAGTGAGGCAGGGCGGCTGCCCGGCCCGCGGCGCCCTGCAGGGCGGCTACAGGAAGTGACCCACTTCTGCACAGGCTGGGGGTTCAGGGGTGTGACAAACACCAAATGAGGGCAGAGTCTCAAGAGTGTGTGGACTCCTGGACCACACGAATTCTTATCCTTTTTCTGAAAAAGACACCATTAGCTATTTAAGCGGAGGCACTATTTTCAGAAGCTACTGATGCATGGTTACTGAAGTCCTGAAAAGAGTTAAGCCCTCAAACTCTATGATGCTCCTTTATGAAGTCAAAGTACCTATTTGAAGCTTCTGTATCAGATGGGATATCTACACATTCAGATCTACCCAAAGGCATTGATTTGCAGTGTGGCACTGCGTGAGGCAGGTGTCACACTGGCCACTCAGAGGAAAGCATTTTGTCTTTTGCAAAGCAAATTTCAGCTCAGACAGCTCTAGAGCAGTTTTGGACAGAAGCATATAGGATGGTCAAGGGGGCAAACGATGTTTGTGATGGTTTCCAGACACAAGAAAATGGGCTCCACTTGGCTCCCGAGGCAACATGCTCCTCTGGCTAAGAGCCTTCTTGAGGCAGTGACTGCTTGCTATGGTTTTGGTGTCGGTGTGACTGAAAGGGTTAAGACACAGCCAGTCAGGACACAGAGGCACAAGACAGGATGCTGGACAGAACTGTAAATCATGTCACCAGGAGCCCAGAATTCAATCCAGCTCTCCTCCATGAATGGCAAGGCCGTGGACCTTAGCCACCACCTGCTGCCTGCCAGCTGTGTGTTGGCAGTAAGCTGGCTTGCAGGGAGAAAAACTGATGCCTGAACCTGGCGCTCTGACACGAGATGCGAGGAGCACAGGCAGTGACCTAACTGCCGTTCCGAACGGCCACTCTGAGAATGTATTTCAGGTGCTCCCATCACCAAGACGTAGAGTGTGTGAGGGGATGGATGTGTTCATCAGCTTGACTTCATCACTCCCCAATGCACATGTTTCATAACATCATTTGCACATCATAAACAGATATACTTCGCCCCAGTCCAATTAAAAGTAACGCTAAGGGCTGAGCGCAGTGGCCTAGGGGCAGCTAAAGTCCTCGCCCTGAAAGCTCCGGGATCCCATATGGGCGCCGGTTCTAATCCCGCAGCCTCACTTCCCTTCCAGCTCCCTGCCTGTGGCCCGGGAAAGCAGTCGAGGACGGCCCAAAGCCTTGGGACCCTGCACCCGCGTGGGAGACCTGGAGGAAGCTCCTGGCTCCTGGTTTTGGTCTGGCACAGCTCTGGCCAATGCAACCACTTGGGGAGTGAAACAGTGAATGGAAGATCTTCCTCTCTGTATATCAGACTTTCTGACAAAAATAAATAAATCTTTAAAAAAAAAAGTAACACTAAACATGAGCCTTTCATGAAGGGAAAAGACAATTTCTGTGGGCTGGGCACTGACGTGGGGGAGTGCTCCCTGTGCACTGGGCACTGACGTGGGGGAGTGCTCCCCGTGCACTGGGCACTGACGTGGGGCAGTGCTCCCCGTGCACTGGGCACTGACGTGGGGGAGTGCTCTCTGTGCTCTGGGCACTGACACTGTTAAGCATCTTTCTGGATTGTCATACATTTCTCAGTGCACTGGGCACTGATGCTCAATTTCAGAAAACTACTGATCTTGACGTCAGAGGACTCAAATCCAAAGGGGTCAACACCAGTCCTTGTTGTTGGGCTGCACGGTGGGCCTGGGCTCAGCACTTGGTGATTCTGCAGGTACAAGCGGGGGGGACGGGGAGGGAGCAGCTATGGAGTGGACAATGGGCCAGCTAGCCCAGGATAGCCTGGTCACCAGAGAGAACAGGAAACGGGCTGGAAATGAAGGGTCAGGAGACGTGGCGTGCCACAGGCAGCTGGGCTGCACGATGCACATTTCTCCTTTCTCTAGGTGAAGGTGAGGCCCCGACATCTCAAATGATTCACCCCAGGTTTGATTTCCAGCTGCCTCGGAGAAGGGTCTTAGCTCTTTGGAAAATATCTCCCAGTAGAAAGAATGCCAGTTCCTGAGAAGCATGCCTTGGCATGGCGGTCAATTGTAAACTTGTACTTACATGTTGCTCTTGTCCCAGTGACTCTGCCTTCCAGCAAGCTATTTCTAACAATCTGAAGAATACTAAAGTCTACTGGCTAATACCAAATCCGCTACTGGCGAGGAGGAGGCAGCAGCTCTAATGCGCTGCTTCCAGGGGAAGGTGGGGAGGGAACCGAGCAATGTATGTCTGCAAGAAAGACAAACGCCACGACTACCCAAACCTTCCTTCTCTTAGGCCACGAAAATCATTGCACAAGGAGGTAGCCAGGCGAATCAGACAGCCCCTTACAGCCCATTCTCTGAGCCCCAAAGCTCCTGGGTGAGACAAAGGGCTGGCTGGGGGAGCAGAGGGAGACAGGGACCGGTTCCAGAGCAGGGACATCTAGCAGGCTTCTCCGGGATGCCCTCGACAGACAACTGAACACAAGCCAGTTCATACAGTACCTTGAAGTAGTCGATGAGCGCTTTCGAATACTTGACAGCATGGTCCCTTTTGAGGCGAAACATCCGCCAGTACAGGAGAGCCAGACAGCGGTAGCTGCAGCAGAAAATGGGGAACGGGCCGTTAAGGAAGAGAAGAAACGTGTCCTTCCTGCACAAGGCTTCAAACAGACAAGCGAGATGCCAGCTCCAACTTCTTGCTTACACTGTGTTTACAGACCTAGAACCCACCTCTAAGTATGTATATGTCTGTGAGAACCTGGCCCCCCTGTCGTCCAAGAACCACAAGTCCAGGCAGGTACTTCAGGAATAGACGGACAGCTTGGTCATTTGGTGTCAGTTTTAAGTCTTTGTTGGGTGGCTGCATCGGGCTGCTTTCCTCTCTCACCACTAGAGGGCAGTCTCTCCCCATCAGTGGCACAAGGAAATTCCAGCAGATTCCCCCGACTGATGGCTGACCTGCTGGCCTGCTGGAAGGGACAGCTCATCCAGTTGTTTTTGTTCCCTTTTTGCTTTTTCACACTTTACTGCAGTGGAAAAGTACTTTCAACAGTGTGTTTAAAATAGAATAAAAAGACTAGTTTCTGGGGCAAAAACCTTTCAAACTAGCATGTGATTTATTTAGAATAGGCAACAAAGACCCCCCCCCATATCGAATTCAAATCAAGTCACAGACATGAACTGCTTATAAATGATGAGAACACTGTCCTAAGAACCATTCTCATCGTACTACTTTCTACAATATTCTGCGTGGTTCTTCCGTACCTGCTAGGATTGTACCTAACTCAACAGCAGTCATCGACGCCATTAATCTCAATGTGGAACTTTAAGGCAGGTGCACAGCATTCCCTGGGACCTAGTTTCTCTTGATAGTTATTATTCTCACTGAGATCTGGCACTGACGTGCTGAGGCATCCAGGCAAAGGGTCACCCACACCACATGTCAGACGCCGCGTCGATGAGAAGGAAGCAAAGACGCGTGTGTGAGTGTGTGTGTGTGTGTGTGTGCTGGGCTTTCCGAGACCTGACATGATTCTCTAACTTGCAGATCAGAGCCCAGAGCAGAACACGAACCTCTCTCTCGGCCACCATCTTTTGTTTTTAAACAGAAGGAAGTCACAGAGAGACCTCCTATAACGTGGGAAGGAGAGGGATGAGGTCCCAGGGAGATGCCACAGGGCAAACCTATGATTCTAATTACAAAGCCACTGCCATGGTCATCACAGAGAATAGACACACATTTGGAACAATGTGGTTTTTATTACCAAAGGACGATGATCTATTCCTCTGCCAGACATGCTGAGAACTTCCACGCGTCACCGTGGTTCGGTCACACTCCTCCCCCGTGAAAAGCAAACCCGAGCCACTCTGATTGCATTTGCAAGGTTCAACACCAAAGCCCATTCAGATGACTAACACACAGAAAACAAGCACCCTGCTGTAACAGACCTGTCCATTTTCAACCTCTGAATTCAGACCACAACACGGCACAGTGCCAAGGGATGCTGTTGAACCTCCCTGATCGTCAGTCCTGCACAGGGCTTTCTTCAGGCCCATCAGCCCCCCATTTCCTGGCGATAACAAGGAGGCTGGGACGCTACTTTAAGCTGAGATGATGCACTCACCATAATGCAGCCAGCTGCTTGTCCTCTGGAGTGGCGTTGGGGCCTGAGTGGGTTTTTAGTCTCATAGCATACCTAAAGAAAGAAAGAAAAAGAAAAGAGAAAAAAAAATCTTTGTTACTAAACAGAACATTCTCTGGGTGGGTGTCGTGGTACAGTGCATTAAACTGCTGCCTGGGATGTGGCACCTGAGTTCCAGTCCTGCCTCCACTTTGATCCAGCTTCCTGCCAATGCTCCTAGGAATGCAATGGATGATGGCCCAAGAATGTGGGTTCCTGTCCACTATGTGGGAGACCTTGATTGAATACCAGTATCCTGGCTTCTGCCAGAGTCAGCCCTGGCTGTTGTGGACACTTGGGGAGTGAGCTATCTTTCTCCTTCTAGCATGCTTCCTTTCAAATAAAGAAAAATACATGAATATTTTAAATCTAAACAAAACCTTTCCTAGGATGGTTATTCTCCCTGCTTGATACTTAAGATTCTCACAGTCCTTTTTGTCACTTCTTTCTGAAAAGTGAGCTGAGACGGTTTCATTTTCCCTAAGCATTAAGTTATTGCAATGACTATAACCAAACAGCTTTTACGATATCCACCTGTTTCCTGCTTGTTAACAGTACAAGTTCAGATGTTGTGAATGGCTGGGAGTGACACCGGCTCAAGAACCATTCACATATATGCTAATGGGTCTGTTTTTCCAAATGTTGATTTACAGCTGAGTGGCTAACGGATGAAGGTTAAGTTCAATTCTGCTGGGGCTTTCACCCCTGGGACCCATGAACAGTTTAGACGGATCTCTTCTGCTGTTGCTGCACAATGCTTGTTCGGACAGTGGGCTGTGTGTCCTGGGTGTATTTTCACTCTGCATCTGCTGCACGCATGTGTGCTGTGATACACCAGTGGCTTTTATGGATGGCACTGAACTTTCGTTTATTTCCCTGGATCAGGGGGCTGACCACTGCTCTCTCCAATGAAGTACCAAGTTCCATGCAGACTGTTTGAGAGAGCTGAGGGAGTGTGTGTGTTGGTCAGAGAGACCCAGGTTCAAGCCAAGGGTATTTGTTAGTGATGAAAGGTTAGATAACTGTACTTAAATATTTAAACATCCATTTCTTTATAAAACGATACAGCTGATCATGTGGCACTGCTGTGAGGATGAACCTAGACAGGAAGGCACCTGGCATAGTGGGCCAGTTTACTGTAAACCGCTCAAGAAATCATACGGTCATCTTGATGAAAGGCACATCTGTGCTATTTTGGGATGCATCTTTTGGCATCATTTTCACAGTGATTACTCTGGGTATTGTACAATGACCTGGGATAATTAATTAATAATTTACCCCTTTGTGCATTTGCCTTTTTCATTTTCTCTTTCTCTATTTGAAAGACAGAGTGAAGGAGAACAAGGTAGTTTATGTCTTCAGTGGTCTAGGTACGGGCCAGGTCAAGGCCAGGAAGTTCATCATGGCCTCTCACATGGGGGGCTGGGGCCAAGCCCTTGGGTCATCTTCCACTGCCTTCTCAGGCCATCAGTAGGAAGCTGAACTGTGAGTGGACTCCGATGGGAACTGAACTGGCAGTGGCACACAGTGCTGGCCTGGCCAGCAGCTAAGCACACAGCTCCATAACCCCCAGCCCCACATCCTCCCCAGTTTTGAATTAACATGGTGTTTGGCATCAGACGTGTCGTATTTTTTTCTTTCCAACGAACACACACAATGTACAGAACCTGAGGCAGGAGCTGCTATGGACATCTGCATTTCCACAAGACCTGCTTCTTCATTTTCACTCATTTGAGGAACTCAGCCGATCTTTTTAAGGGTGGAGCTGTAAAAATGTTTTCTTTCATTTGAGATAAGTTTCTTTACTCTGAGAATTCCTAAAGGGTGTTTTCATTGGATCTAGAATCTAAGGCTTGACACGTTTTAATTCCAGCAATTGACCAAAAATCTTGCCATCCCCTTTGTCTTCCATCACTGCCGAGAAGTCATCTGTCATTTGAATTTCTGCTTCCCCTAGAGGTAATACGGTAGAATCTCTGGCTGCTTTCAGGGTGTGTGTGTGTGTGTGTACTTCTCAGAAATGTAACTATATCTTTGCATGAACTTCTCTTGGCTTATCCAGTCTGGGTTTTTCTCAGCTTCTCGAATATGTACATTGTCTTTTTACAAATCTGGTAAGTTTCACAGTCACTACTTCAAATACTTTCTGAACCCCAGCCTCTGAGATTTCATTCATGGTGTTGGATCTTTTTTTGGTGTGCTTGCTATGGTAGGAATCTGTCACCAGAATCCATTGTTGGAAATGTAATCTCAGTGTTGCAACAATATACAGAGGTAATGAATGCTGAGGGCGGTGTCCTTTTTCATGGGTAAAAGCTATTTGTGTGGGCGGGGTCAGTCATTGAAGGGTGAACTACTGATAAACAATCCTGACTTCTGTCTCAGGGAGGCCTGCTTGTCCTTCCCCTCTGTATAACACGGCACCTAGGAGCCCAGATGCCCTGAGTCATCGTACGTCCCAGCCACTGGAACATGAGATGAATACACCCCATAACGTGAGCTGAGAGCTGAATACAATTTTCTTCTGCTAAAGGCCAGGTCTTCTGTTACAGCAGAAGCAAACTAAGAAAGAACACTGTACTGAGAAGTAGAGCTGAGGGTCAAACATGTGGCTTTAGAACTGAGCAATGAAGACAGGCTGGGACAGATGAGAGGAGCAGGCCAGGAAAAGGCTGTCCTGTGCACAGGACGATTCTGGAGATGGGGAGATACAGACAAAGTCAGAGACTTCTTAGAGATCTCCAAAGAGGTAGTGATGAGAGAGCTGGGACAAGCATGGACAGCAGAGGGCTGGGAAAAGTATTGGAAACTGGAGCCAAGGCCATCTTTGTTATCCAGGAGTGTGTCCAGGTTCTAGTTCTTTATGGCAAGCTAAACCCAAGAGTGATGGCAGGGGATGACCGGTAGAAGAATAATTTATGAAGCAGAGTGCTGAGGCTCCCACGTGGCTCTTTTAAACTGCCTTCAGTGAGATTTCAGGCGAAAGATAGATCTTCAAGATGAAAATTTGTAATGAAAAGGGAAGCAGAACAGCAAGGCTTGGCGGGGAGGGGCGGGGAGGAGGGGAATCTGCTGCTCAACCATGTCAGGAGAACAAATGTTCCAGAGAGCAAGTCAAAGGCATAGTGCTGTGAGCACGCGGTAGAGGGATTCGCACAGAGCAAAGGGAGCCAGGGACTGTCCTTCATGGGGAAGGGAAAGGTTCCCAAAGGTATTTTGGGGATCTCAGGAGCTGCTGCGTCCATTACAGGCCCAGGGCACCCTCCTTGGGCTTGCTGCATCATGGGGCAGCACTCCTTGGCTGCCCAAGCTGTGGCTCCAGGGGGCCCAGGGACAGGGCTCCACCCACTCACTGTTCTGCAAGGCACAAGCTGTGGACCTTGGCAGACACCTACACACAGCAATGAAAGCAGGAGTTGTGGGGCGCGGCTTCCTTCACTGAGATTTCCGAGGATGCTGGACTTCCGGGTGGGCCCCAGCACGGCCACCAGGAGATCCTTTCTACAGCGATGTTCAATGGCAATGGGAGGTCAGTGGCAGAGGGGCCACAGAGTCCCCACTCGGGGTAGTGCTTTCTGGAGCTGTGAAAATGTGACTGCCCTCCACACTCCAGACTGGAGAGCTATGGCATGCCATGCTGGCCTGGGAGAACTGCAGGCACACGTTGGAATTCAGGAGAGTTGCTGGGTGAACTGTGACTTTGCTAATCACAGGTGAAAGGCTGCCTGGGGCTTTGGGGTGTCCAGGTTGCAGACATCATGCAAAAAGGGATTATCTTCCAAACTGAATACTTACTCGGTTGGGCTTTAGAACAGTCTCTCTTTTCTTTGTGTCCCCTTTGAGCTCGTCTTTTGGATGCATGTTCCACAGCCGTATTTTGGAAGTGCATATCTTACTTGGTTTTCACAGCAGCTTGAGGGCCAACGGCTTCCAATGAATCACGCCTTGGAGTCTCACCCAAATCGGACTTAGATGAGACTTTGGGCTTTTGAATTGATACCCGATTAGTTAAGACTTTTGCAGCTGCTGGGATGGAAGGAAGATACTGTGCACTGTGAGGATACCAATTTGGGGGCCCAGTGGTGGAACAACTATAGTTTCAATGTGCCCTCTCAAATTTAACCATTGAAAACCTCCTCCACAATGTAATAATAATTCAGAGACAGCAACAGAGATAAGTCAGGAGCACCACGTCCTCAGGAATGGACCCATGCCCGTCCATGGGAGGGAGTCACTGAGGGAGTGAGCTCCTGATGAGAAGAGCGAGCTCTGCCTCGGACACTGGCACTGCTTGTCATGCAGCATGGAGGCCATAGCTGGTGTCATCTCCTTCAGCTTCGTGAAGTCGAATAAATTCCTATTGTTTGTAAATTGCCCAGTCTGTTGTATTCTGCTATAGGAGCAGAAAATGGACTAATTCAGTGCTTTGGGCTCTATTCATTTTCTTTTTATTCAGTCTATTTCCTCGGTTGCTCAGATTGGAAGAAAAAATTGATTTTCTATCTTCAAGTTCATTGATTCCATCCTCTGTCATCTCCATTCTTTTATTGAGTCCCATCCAGGCAACTTTTTTTTTTTTTCCTGTTATGACACTTTTTGGTCCTATAACTTCCATTTGGTCTTTTTAAAATAACTTCCGCTTTTTGAACCAAATTTTCTATTTTTTTGTCTGCTGTAATAGAATTACAGTTGCTTACAGAAGCATTTCCATGATGGCTGCTAACACTGTTAGGTAATTCTAACATGTGAGTCACTTCAATACGGGTACGCAGTTCCTGGTTCCCAGCCTAATGAGTGAATTTCTATCGCAGCCTGGGCATTTTTGCTATGAGGTTAGTAGACTCTGGGTCCAGCTTCAATCCTGTTAGCAGGTGGCCCTTCTATCTAGGTTTAGCAGGCAGATTGTAGCCTACTCTGGCAGGCCATAGTTCCCATTATAATTCACTTCCCAGAGCCTTCCTGGTACTATGTTGGCTTGCCTGATTGAGCTGGGGCCAGTGGTGCTCCCTATAGTTCTTCATGGTGCTGTCTGAAGCAAGCTGGGTTAGGAGGAAATGTTTGCCAGGCTGGCTTGGTGCTGACAGGACTGCATTCACCAGTGTCTCTTGATCCCTTGATCTGTGGGGTAGAAACTTCAGATCACTCTCGCCAGCCAGTGAGGCGCTGGGCCTCCCAGCATCTCCCGTGGGATAGAGGAGTGCCAGGCAGGATGAGCACGATGCAGATTTAAGTGGCAAATTAGTGAGCACTCATTGCTGATTCGGAGAAGCAAAACTTTTGTCAGGGAATTCCGGGTGATCTGAAGGTTTTTGTTCTTTCAGAGCTACCTAGGGGCTGGGCTGTGCTTTCTGCTAAGCAAGGTGCTGGTAGCAGCGGGCACAACAGGGGTGGCATGCAGCACCCCAGGTGCACTGATTGGCACTTGGCTTCTGTTTGAATTTGCTTTGTGTTTTTCCAATGGAATCACCTTCAAGCAGGAGGGTATTAGGTATTATCTAGAGCAGCTCAACCAGTTCAAAACCTAAACCACCTTGCAAAATTTCTGCATGGGCTTCATGCTCCTTGCAACCGCCTGCCCGGCAAGGATCAGCACTTACCTGATGAGCTCCACCGTTTCTGAGTACATGGTGTAGGGGGATTTGGACTCCATGGGGCCTTGCTCCATCGCATTTCCACACTCGATAAACGACAAGGCTGCTTCAGCATAGTTCAGGGCTTTCCCAAACTTTTCCACCTGGTTAACAGAGAGAGGGCAGAGTCTTCCTTTACCATCAGTTGAACACAACATTGTCACAGAGCTTAACTGCTTTCTTTCAGAAACCTGACTGGTGAGTTCTAAGATCTAGTGAGCCGCACCCAGGGCAGGGGCGTGAGGACACAGCAGGCAGTGTTCCTGCGCTCAGGCTTCGGGTTTTAGTCACATGAGGTCAACTTCAGTCTGACGGTACTAAACGGACAATCTCCTAAACACACACTTTGGAACTTTTAACCAATTTCGTTTACTGTCCATTGTTACAAATGCGGCCTTTTATTACTTATTGTTGTTCATGTCTTATTTTGCCTAATTTACAAGCCAAATTTTGTCACAGGTCAAACATACCTAATAAAGTTCTGTACAATCTGTTCTTTCAGCCCTCTATGGGGTGTCTTGGCACACATGTCCCCTGGAGAAGGAGGGCCACTGTACTTACTTACTTCTCTACTTGTTTTCTCAACTGGTTGCTTCAGGTGGGCCAATGCTTACATATGGGACAATACCCAATCTAGGTTACAAGTGTCAATCGGCATGGTACCGTGTGTCATGACTTCTCTAGGTTCTGTTTTCCTCCTTCTAATGCTCTGGTCATGTCACTCCTTGTCCCTCCGTGCTATGCTAAAAACGTGTTGTTGCTTTCACTTAGGAATTTTCAGACATGCATGCGTGTGTATGTGTGCATGTGTATGTGTGTGTGTGTCTGTGTGTGTGTATGTAACCCAACTTGGATGGTCCAATGCCTTGGCTAGGATCTTTTATCTTACTTGTGAACATTCGTATATCAAGCCTTCCCCTTTCCCTGTGTTTTTCCCTTAAGAGTTTGGCTCCTCACTTGACAGTGGGGGTGAGCAGGGGCAGGAGGAACAGGGAAAAGTTAAAGCACTTGCCAACGCAGGATACACAGTTGAACATAAATCATAAAAATAATTTTCTGGATCTCGTGTAGTTGGCTAAATTTCAGTTGGTCTTTCCTCACAATAGAAAGAACAGCTGTGAACCAGCTTTCTATTCTTAAGTTCCATAAAGGCAAACTGAACATCTCAAATTCTTGGTTGCTACTCTCTGTGGTTAATTACTCTTAACTCTGGACTGCAAAAATCAGGGCAATTTCCAAATGATTCATTCATCAATCAAAAAAAAAGTCAGTAATATATAACTCTAATTATTACTCTTGGCTGTGTCACTAAAAAATAAAATAAAATAAAATAAAACTTCCTTAGTAATATCTTAGAAGACAGAAACAGCAAAATGCTTCTTCATTAGCAAATCAAATTTTTAAAACAGCTTCTATATGTCAAATAGGCTATGAAGTAATCCATTTTGGCCAACACTTTCAGAAAAAGGAGATCATTTCATTTAATAAGTGTATCTTAAAGCCTCTATATCGAAGGCACACACACTTGACACACAAAAAGCTTCTTCCAGGAACACATAATGGATTCTGGAGACAGAAAATGTGCAGCTGCATGGTGGCCTGGGAGGATTCCAAAGCAGATGATGTGGTGGAAAGCGGGCAAGTGACAGCACCTACAGAGGGGCTAGGAAGGCTGTAGGGAGGAGACCTGGAAACAACTGTGGGGAGGCCCGGCCTGGCTGGCTGGCTGTGGGAGAGAGCTGGGTGTGTGGCAGTGACTGGGGATGAGGGCTGAGAGCATGTGGATGCCCATGAGAGCTCGAGGTTCAGCAGATGCAAAGCTTGCTGGCATGGGCCAGATGTGCTAATAGGCTGGTAGAGGACCAGCCTGACTGGAGCAGGTGCCTCCCTGAGAAATGGGTAATCAGGAAAGGAAGGTGCTATCACATGGAGGATGCTGTGAATCCTGGGCTGATGGACTGGAGCAGAGTTGCTCAGGATGCTCCAAAATCCAGCACCGCTCCTGCAGCAGTGGCTGTGCATCGGCTCTTTCAAGCCAGCAGACTGTGGGACTGTGTGGACCATAGTCCCATCCATTCCACTTCTCTGTTTTCTGACACTCACTCAGCAACCTCACGTGACTTAGTGGTACCACTGAATCCTGGCAGTGTGACATCAGCAAAGTGGTACTGCTATGGCTTAACCCCTTTTAACACTGGAATAACAGTAACAACAGTCTCAAGGTCATTTCTGATGCCTTATTCAACTCCAGCAGCTTGGACTTGTTTATAGTCACTGGGGGATGGGGGGATGGGGAAGACAGCAGAGATAATAGGAAGGAGGGAGTCACCTGGAGTGAGGCATTAAGATGGAAAAACCTTAGCACGTCTGTTCTTGCTTGAAAGCTTCCACTTTTCTAAAGCAAGAGATTATCCAACGTAGCAGAGTTACTCATTGGCAATATCAAAAGCTGGTGATTTGAGGGCATTCTGCTCAGACCACTGCTTCTGTGTTGTACAATTCAAAGCGAGCATTCCTTTTCACAGACACACATGAAGAACATGAGTCTCAAGAAGGGGTTCAGCCTGGGACCAAGCCAAGGGCTGTGGGTCAGGTTAACAAGAGACAAATACAAATTTAGATTTTTTAAAACATCTATTTATGTATCAGGGCTGGGGCCATAGTGCAGCACATTAAGCCTCAGTCTGCAATGCTGGCATCCCATATGGGGCACCAGTTAGCGTGCCAGCTACTCCACTTCTGGTCTAGCTCCCTTCCTATGGCCTGGAAGAAGCAGGGGAGACATGGATGAAGATCTTGGCTCCGGCCTGGCCCAGCACTGGCTTTTGTGGCCATCTAGTGAGCGACCCAGTGGATGAAGGCAACTCTTGCTATGTGATTTTTTAAAATAAATAAAAACATATTTTTAAAAAATCTATTTAGGAGAGGGGGAGAGAAGAAGCAAGGAATGGAGGGAAGGAGAGAGAGGGGGAGGGGACTCCCCTAGCTGCTGTTGCACAATTTGAACATCTGCAGGGAATGGGATAGGGTGGACAAGGCAGAAACTCAATGCAGGTCTCCCACACGGACGGCATCAACCAAGGCACTGAAGCATCGCAACTCCTCCCAGAGTCTACACTGGCTGAAAGCTGAGTCAGGAGACAGAGCCAGTGAGCCCAGATACTCCATTATAGCATGCAGGCATCTTAAACAGCATCTCCGCCCACCCAACCTCCCCCCAAACCCGATTTATTTGAAAGGCAGTGTGTGAGAGTGATATCTTTCATCTGGTAGTTCACTCTCTCAAATGGTGGCAACAGCCAGGGCTGTGTCAGACTGAAGGCTGGAGTCCAGAGCTTCTTCCAGGTCTCCCGTGTGAGTGCAAGAGGCCAGGGACTTGTACCATTTTCATGCACTTTTCCAAGCGCATTAGCCTGGAGCTGGACTGGAAGTAGAGCAGCCAGGACAGACCTTAATTTGGTGCCTATACGGGATGTTGGTGGTTTAGCACACCATACCACAATGCCAGCCCCTTAACCAGCATCTTAACTACCAGGTTACATACCCATTCCTAGACTTCTTTTTAAAGAGAAAAAAAACTATCTCCTGCTGACTCTACTGGCTCTAGTTACTATTTAAGCTGGAATAAATGGAAATGCTCATTTATCCAGGCTTTCTCCTACTCAGGCACTGTTGGTTGAAGTCATAATTTACCGGGCGATGAGCAGTTGATTGTATAAACATTCCTCCATTTAACAGACCCAGCCATCCTTGTAATAGATTTTATAATTACCCAGCTATATTGCCCCAGTGATGGAGCTGCAGCACAAACATCATTTGGAAGAAAGTATCTGGAAGGAAAAGGCTCTTACCATTGCGTCTGCTTTATGTTTCATCCGTTTAGCTTCTTGCATAAAATAATCCGCACTGCGAGGCCTACAGAGAGAGAACGTATTAAATGCCGTTATTGCTTAAATACAAGATATTCCCATTTAAATACAAGATATTTTAAAAACATTTTTCCTTTCAAAACTTAAAGCACAACTTAAAGACTCTGCTCAATATGGAGCCAAATTTTTTTTGCATTTCCAAAAATTACTGCTTACATGTAAAATATGATGGTTATTTTTCTCTTAAGTTACCAATTCAAAACACATTCAGTATATGCTACATGCTTTTACAGTGCCTTTAACATGGCCCTCCTGTGTCTCATTTGTGAATCAGATTTTTAAAAAATAATATGGTTAAAGGGGTCTGGCGTGGTAGCCCAGCAGCTAAAGTCCTCACCTTGAACGCACCAGGATCCCATATGGGCACCAGTTCTAAGCCCAGCAGCCCTACTTCCCATCCAGCACCCTGCCTGTGGCCTGGGAAAGCAGTTGAAGATGGCCCAAAGCCTCGGGATCCTGTACCCGTGTGGGAGACCCAGAAGAGGCTCCTGGCTTCTGGCTTTCGACTGGCTCAGCTCCAGCTGTTGTGGTCGCTTGGGGAGTGAATCAATGGAAAGAAGATTTTTCTGTCTCTCCTGCTCTCTGTATATGTAACTTTCCAATGAAAATAAACAAAATCTTAAAAAAAATAATATGGTTAAGGAAATAAGTAAAAAGTGAGACATCTTTTTTTTCACATAATATTTACACAAAATAATTGCCTTTCATGGAAGGCTCATAACTGTATCTCATACTGACTGAATGGCTCTAGGCGGGAAGTGTTCATGTACCCTTGTGAAAATGTGTCACTGGTGTGCACACATCGCATCTAGAGTATTTTTAAGTGGGTATTTTTTTAATTAGTCTGAAGCTTCACAGTGAACGATGAGAAGGGGTAATGCTGTATGATTACACTGCGGTTGTAACGAAGTTAATTGCAAAATGATGTCTACCTCGTGACAATGCAAACACAGCTTGTATTCTCCAGAGTTCTGATTAGCCGCCTGGTAAACATTAACAGCAGACGTGTGCATCAGCTTATCATTAAAGCAACAACCCTGGCCAGTGCTCTTCTGGGAGACACAGGTAATTCACCCAGCAACGGATCTGAGTATGTGTGTAATGACCCCAACTTATGCTAAGCTGCTCATCAGACAGCACTTTCAGATGCTTCTTTTTTAAACTACATCCTTTAGGTGCCATCAGCATAAACTATTTTTGCATTATGGGTCTTTGCATAATCAATAAACTTGACCTACGCATGAATATCCAACAGAAGCCAAGACTCCCTGTGTGGTCACTGTTAACGTCATTTGCTCAAACTACCGTGGCATGCTTATTCTGAACTGTCTGATTTCAGATTCAAATGGGTCTTTCATCTTTCTGTAGTATTAGGCAGTCAGAGCATCCCTTTCTGCACACAGATAAAAATGCTCAGAAAACAAGATATAGTATAACAATGACACTGTGTTTCAATAGAACAAATAAGTGAACCAGAATCAAAGCCAACAACTCATTTCAAGTTAAAAAAAAAACCCTCATTAAAGGGGCTGGCATTGTAGCACAGGCTAAATCACCAGCAATGACATGGCATCCCATATGAGCAACAGCTTGAGTCCTGGCTGCTCCACTTCTGGTCCAGTTTCCTGCTAACGCACATGGGAAGGCAATGGCAGATGGCCCAAGCACTAATGCCCTTGTACCCAGGTGGGAGACCAGGGCAAAGGTCCAGGCTCCTGTTTTTGGACTTGCCCAGATCTGACCATTGAGGCCATTTGGGAGTGAATGAATAGATGGGAGATATCTCTGTCTCTGCCTCCTTCAGTAGCATTGCTTTCAAATAAATAAATCTTTAAAAAAAAAAACCACCAAAAGCAAGAAGATCTAGTTTTCTGTCTCTTCTTTGTAAAACATTATCAACATGTAATATGCTGGGACTATTTTTTTAAAGATTAATTTCATTTTTACTTGACAGGCAAATTTATAGAGAGACGGAGAAGACAGAGTTAGTTAGTTCTCCCTCCAAATGACTGCAATGGCTCGAGCTGATCCAATCTGAAGCCAGGAGCTTCTTCCGGGTCTCCCACGTGGCTGACATCCTCTGCTGCTTTCCTGGGCCATCAGGAGGGAGTATGATCAGAAGTGGAGAAGCCAGAACCTGAACTGGTGTCCAGATTGTATGCTGGTGCCACAGGTGGAGGCTTAGCCTATTATGCCACGGTGCTAGCCCCAACTCCTGCTTTTGGTAACAAATTTAGTAGCAATCTTGACTGGAAAAGGCAGAGTTCTCATAAACCTATTTCCATTAACCTCCTGGCTCCAGACGATCATTTGCTACCATCAAAGAGCCCACATGCTTGTATCATAATCACCCCAAGTCCACAGTTCACATAGGCTTTCACTCTCAGTCTTGTACATCCTTTGGGTCTGGACCCATGCATGGTAACGTGTGCTTGCTATTATACTCTCAAAGGGAATGCCTGTACTGCCCTCAAGTCTACTGAATTAATTTGAGAGCCAGGCAGACAGAGATTATTTTCCATTTGCTGATTCCTTCCTCAAATACCCACAGCAGCTGGTGCTGGGCCAGGCTGAAGTCAGGAACTCAATCCAGGTCTCTTGGGTGGGTGGCAGGAACCCAATGCCTTAAGCCAGCACTGTTGCCACCCACCCCCTGCCCCGGGTCTGTACTAGCTAGAATGTCAGGAGCTGGGACTGAGACCCAGGCACTCCCACATGGGATGCAGTTGCGCCAAGCGGCAATTCCACTGCTACACCAAGTACCCGCCCGAGTGTTAACTTTCTGGTTATGCCTTTGTTTTGCAGCCTAGTGTGGAAGAATAGGTCACACCTATTGAGGAGAGGAGCTGGTGCCCATTCACCCACTTCTTCCAGATGCCAGATGCTGTGAATGCTTCCTTGCAAACATTCTTCTCTCCCCCACGGCCACACCTGTCACCCAAGCCCAGGCCATCTTCATTGCTCTGCCTTGGCCTCTGCTCCAACTTCCTCCAATCAGTCCTCACAGTATCTGTCGCTTTTGCTACAACACCATCCTTCTCACAGATGTAAAATCCATCTTGGGCCAGCGCCATGGCTTAGCAGCCTAATCCTTTATCCCATGGTACCAGCATCCCATATAGGCACTGATTCATGTCTTGGCTGTTCCACTTCCCATTCAGCTCCCTGCTTAGGTCCTGGGAATACAGCAAAGGATGGCACAAGTCCTTGGGATCCCTCACCACATGGGAAACCCAGAAGAAACTCCTGGATCCTGGCTTTGGATCAGCTCAGTTCATTCTGGTCATTTGGAGAGTGAAACAGTGAATGGAAGGTCCTTCTTTATCTGTCTGTAACTCTTCCAAGTTAAATGCTGTGTGAATGCACCACAGTTGTAATGAAGTTAATTGCAAAATGATGTCTAGGGCCTAAGTGGTCAATTCTTTCATTGAAATCTGCCAGGCCTTACTGACCAAGGCGTTTGACCAAAGGCAGAGTGACCTCTTCCCTGCCTTTCCTGCAGGATGGTGCACTAGGGGCTCACTGGGTATGCCCAGTGTTAAGTGCCATGAGCTACCCTACCCCCAAATTCCACACCTGGCTCTTCCCTTCCAGATTTCACATGGCATTTCCTGGTTACATGACACGTCTGAGCATTTAGTCACCATCTGAGTAGAATCAGGTTATGGTCCTTTTGTGTATGTGCAGTTCAGCTAATGGCACATTTTCAGTGGGGATTATGTGGCAGACAGACCTCTTAGATCTTCCCTACACTGTAGCTTAAGATACACGGCAGAAGGCAAGCAAGTCCCCCTTGAATGGCACTGAATGTGTTCTGAGCTTAGGCAAGAGTGGTGCCTTCTAACTGGGGCAGCATCACAGCCAACAAGCAGGCGCACGTCTCCATGGCAACTTGAAATTCTCCACATCATTATCTGCTCCACACTCCACTACAGAAGTTGGGTCATATATTTTTTCTCCCTTGCCCTGTTCTGTAGACCTTGTCACTAACAGACTGTCATTTCAAATGCATTTCGTTTTCACAAAAGGTTCGTCTTGGTAATAAGCCCAGGCATTTGAGTTTTCACTAGCCTTTTAAGTCACCCTTATGGATGATGGGGGCTCCAAACTCCCAATATGGGTTCTTTAATCAGTGTTGTTTTCATCTGCAGCATATGTATGCTTTTAAAAAGCTTGACATGGAGGTTGAGTCACAAGCTTGCACTACGGTGCACCTGGATAAGTAATGCATCTGATTTTCTGACTTGATCACAGCGGCTATGATTGTAACCCGAGACACTGAGAGGAAAGAGGCCATCTGGAGATCATTTACGGACATCTTGTTAGCCTTCTCGTCTTTGCATAGAACGGGGTGCTCACTCTACTGAGTCACTGATGAGTGCCTGGTGACAGGCTCATTTTCTGCTTTCAGGTGATATCTAATACCTCGCTCCCACATGAGGCCATTTTAAAGCCATGGGGCATCACTTGGCTGGTCCAGCCTTGCATGGATGCAAGCTACCGTGAAGACACCACTTCTCCACAGCAACACATGAGTCAGAAGAAAGAGGAAACTTGTCCTCACCTCTGTGGCATCAGCAAAGCTCAACATATGGACATGTCTGCCAACCCAGCTATGTATATATATCTATATCTCTCTCTCTATATATATATGTGTGTGTGTGTGTACATATACACATACATACCTATACACAGCCTGTTTAGTGAACACACACATATACCATATATATATATATTTAATTTAGAAAATCTAGAGCTATTGTTTAGCTTTTCTGTAGTAAAATCCCTCACATTGTTTCACACAGTGATGGCACTTTAAGGACGAGCTCTGAATGGAACTCACAGGAGTTTAAAAGCATGTCATAAAGAGATCTCACTGTGTGTCTTGGGGTTCTGAGGTCAGGGGGCTGGAGTGTTCTTCAGGGCAGGACTCTGCCCTGTGTTGCCTTTGTTCTAAGATTCTGCAACAAAAACCATCAGAATAGT